GTCGAGTCCCCAGCCCGGGGGGGATTTAACAGCCGGGCAGAGGCGGTGCTGAGGGCCGGGCTTTGGGGGTGGGATGGCAGGGGTAGGGCAACGGTTGGGCTTTTGATGATTGTAAAGGTCTTTTCCAACCTAAACAATTGTAAGGTTGTTTTAACTTAAGTAATTAGGGAAAAATCTGCCGCCGTCAGTCAAAGGTGGGGATGTTAAAAATCGCATGGGGTTTCCTGGTGCTTGTACCACAAGCAGAATCGTACAGTGACTGAAGACATATGGGCTTGGGGTTTCTTTCCTTCTTCAGGCTGGATTATCTGTGGAGTGAAGCCTTTGGTGTGTGTTCACCTGGTTGGTTTTGGTTTTATTTCCCCCTCTCTGCAGGGTGAGGATGGGCAGGAGGCTCTTTCCTTTGAATTTCAGAAAATCAAATACTCGTATGAGATAGATGGCAAGAAACAGTTTCTTCCTGTAGCTTTCCCTGTGGAGCATCCCCTTTGTTACTACCAGAATGCCCGAGGCTATCAGGAGGACAAAGATATCCGAGCAGCCGAGAAGAAATACGGTACAAACAAGTAAGTTTTCCGGGTGCGGATCTCTCTTTGCCGACGTACGCCAGCATGTCAGGAGCAACAGGGTCGAACCACAGTTCTAGTCCCGGTTTTTTAAATTTCAGTTGCTCCCGGCGCTTGCTTCAAATCCCTTTAGGGACAGAGAACAATAGCGGACCAAGGGGTTTTCTCCAGGGTGGGCCAGAGATGGAAATTAATTGCATAGAACAAATTAACTGAATCAAAGTAATTGAAAATAGGGAGATTGTGGGTCTTCGGGATTACAGCCTGCTCTGATGCCAGAGGCTGCTGGGGGCTTTTGCGTTGGGGTTTTGCTGAGAATCTGGGATGTTCTGGTTGACAAGGACTCAACAGGGCTCAGTTCTAGGGCCGGTCTTGTTTAATAACGTTATCAGCGACCTGGATGAGGAGATTGAGGGTGCCCTCACTCAGTTTGGAGATGACACCAAACTGGGTGGGAGTGTGGATCTGCTGGAGAGGAGGAGGGCTCTGCAGAGGGCCCCGGCCGGGCTGGATCCACGTGGGCCCCGGCCAGGCTGGATCCACAGGGCCCTGGCCAGGCTGGATCCCTGGGCCCAGCCCAATTGGGTGAGGTTCCCCAAGGCCAAGGGGCGGGTCCTGCCCTGGGGTCACCACAACCCCACGCAAGGCTCCAGGCGTGGGGACGAGGGGCTGGAAAGCTGCCCGGCGGAAAAGGAGCCGGGGGTGTTGGTCGCCAGGCGGCTGGATAGGAGGCAGCAGGGTGCCCAGGTGGCCAAGAGCCCCTAAGAAGATTCTTCGCCTTCCTCTCTCCTTTTTTTTCCCTTGTTCTTTGCCTCCGGCGTCTTGTCCAGCTTGTACTTGAGGGGGC